ATTGGCAGATTTCCTCTCTAAGGACATGGCCTTGTATATATTCCAACAGCATCGGTCTCGACTGCGTCCCGAATGGGAAAGGAACCTCCTTCAGCTGGTCCTTGTGTCGCGCTTTGGCAGACCATTCTGCTGAGCAGGAACTCGGTGACCTCTACCGAGAATTCCTGAAGGAGTACAGCAAGAGCTCTCCTTCTTCGTCACCCGAGTTGAGGCTCTTTGGATTTACAAAAAGTTTTTTCTTTAATCCATTGTAATCTGAATGACATCCCTTTGGGAATTTTGAACTTGGTTAATCATTGTCTGATTTTCAGAAGTATAACAATTATGAGGGAGTGAATTCTTGAAAATAGTTGCACATGATATGAAGTGGATTTCTAAAATTTATGAAAGCATTTATTTTCCATATTCATATGCTTAAGGGGCACACTATGTAAATATTGCGTAAATACATCCGACGTCAGTTTTCTATTTTTCAATACCCAGACCTCCAGATTTATTATGAAGTTTTCCTTTTGTGTACATATATCTCTATGTATATATACACATATACACGCAGATATACATACATTAATATATATAATATATATATATTATATATATATATATATGTGTGTGTGTGTGTGTGTGTGTGTGTGTGTGTGTGTGTGTGTGTGTGTGTGTTTCTGCTTCTGAAGAAGCAGAAACCAAGATCGGCAACGGTAGTGAAACCGAAGCAAAAGATTCTGTAAGAAAAGTTAAGAAAGTAATGAAAACACAAGAAACTGTTAAACAGATCGAAAGCAATTTGTCAAGCAGCCAGGTTCAGATAATGGAAGAAGCAAAAAAGATAATAGCTACAGTGTATCAAAGGTAAAAGAGACAGTAATTGAAATGGTGAAAAAGATAGAATAAAACATCACAACGGAAGAAATTAAGACAGCTTGCAGAGACGGTAAAGAAAAATTAATTCATATCCCACCTTGGGCAACATACAAGGAGTATTGCTAATTTGGCTAATGTAAATAAGGATATAGTCATATTACGACATGAAGAAAAGTTGTAGAAGATGAAACTGAACGATACAACGAGGACAAGAAAGGGATTATAAATATCCTCAAGGTCATAAATCCCGAATTCGCGATGCAGAATATCATAGCTCGCAGGAGGCTGGGATTATTAGAAAAGGGAAAGAAACGCCCTCTAAAAGTAACATTCTTTTAACTGCAAATGGTAACTGATATAATAAAGAACGGCAAAGTCCTGACCACCCATGAAGAATATAAGAAAATCTGATCAAGGATGACAGAGAAACACTGCAGAAAAAATGGAAGAGGTAAAGAACAAAAATGAACTAAGTACTAAAGAGGAAAAAAAACTTGTTACTTGGAGGGTGAGAGGTCTCCAAGCAAGGGATGTTGCTACAACTAGAGATAATAATTGAAAAGATAAACCAGATATGATATCCATCACTGAATCCGAACCAGCTCGAAAGACGATGTAACATTAGGACTCAAAGACTATCATATTTGGAGAAAAGATATGGCAAATGGAAATGGAGGGGGATAGTGATATTAACAAGGAAAGGAATTATTCCAAAGGATTAGAAATTAAGCAAGACTCCACAGTCGAAATGAAGGCAATTGAGGTAGAAACAAACAGGGTAAACATAATAATACTCACAGTATATATGCCACCTCATACATCGGTGTGGTCATATGAAAATTACCCAAAACTAATTCATTAAAGAGCCTGGAGAAGTGTTACAACTTTTCACAGGGGATTTTGAAAGCAAAACTGACTGGGAAAGTTTCGATCCCAGAACGGAACCACATTTTGGGAATGCTAAATTACTTCGTCATAATTGAGTATTGCCTTTTCCAGCATGTAACAGATCATACGGGCTAGACAGACCATCTATGCTTGACGTGATATTCACAAAACATTAAGATCATATTTAGGATATCGACTACTGTCCTCTTTTAGGAAAAAAAAAACGATCATGTAGTAATTAAACTCAAATACTGTCTGCTACAGGAAAAAACTCATCGTGAGTAAAGAAAGGAATGAGGACACTACAAGAGAGGCAACTATAGAAGCGATTTCTTTGATATGAACTGGAAAACACTTCTTGTCTATGAGACCTTGATGTTCAATATTAAAAAAAATTGAAAAACATATATCAAAACTCAAAACTGAGGCAAGGAATGGCCAAAAATGGTTCAATGACAAATGCAAAAAAACGAGAGAAAGCAAGCAGCTCCATTAGAAAAGATTCAGAAGACATAAATCTCAGACAGCGTATGGAAGATATAAAGTTGGAAGAAATGAATATACCCAAACCATGAGAGAGGCGAAATTAGCGCCATCAAAGACAATAACATCGTTTATACTAAGGAGGAAGAAATGTGTGAAATCCTAAATGAGAAATTTCAGTCAGTGTTTTTCAGGACCCATACTTTAATATGACAAATACCCGTACAAACGTAAAAAAGAACATCAAGATATAACCCTCAAAAATGATAAAATAAAAGATTTACTAAAATGATTAGATAAGACCAAAGCAGGACCAGATGAGATTACTAACTAGGTTCTTAGGGAATGTGCCGAACTATGTACTCCTTATTGTTAATATTCCATAATTCAGGAGAGACAAGGTAAACTACCAAAATGTTGGAAACTCGCTATGTTGCATATAAAAGCGGCAACAAACAAAAATCTAGATTATAGACCAGTTTCGTCAACTAGTGTAGAATGCAAACTGTTAGAATGGATAATTAGCAAACAATGGGTTGAGGTACTTGAAAAACACGAAATCATATGAAAAAAACAATTTGGTTTATTGAAGGAAGGTCATGTGTAGCGAATCTCCTCCTGAAATATTACAAGAGACTGGTGGGTGGATTGTGTGTACTTAGATTTTAAAAAGGCTTTTAATAAAGTGTCCTATGGAAGACTACTACGGAAATTCAAGTACCTAGGTGGAGTGAAAGGCAAACTCCTTGAATAGATGAAAGACTTTCTTCATGAAAGACAGATGAGCACAGCATTTAGAGGGAAGCATTCTACATGGCGACGAGTAACCAGCGGAGTGCCTCAAGGATCGGTGTTGGCACCGATTATGTTTACTATTTTCGCCAATGATTTTGCATCAAACATAAGCCCTGGCAGTTATCTTAATACAAAGAAGGATAATAGATGACCTCTCAAGTCAATACCTCTAAAGTGACAATGAAAACTTAGTCACGTGATATTGTACTTGGAAAATGGAATTCAATACCAATAAATGCCACGTAGTCAGGTTCAGAAAAAGTTAAAATCTCCCACTATTTCAACATAAATTAGGAAACGCAATATTAAACACAGCTGACAGGGAAAAGATCTTGGGGTAATCATAACCAGAAACCAAAGCCGAAATGATCATATAAATGAAAAGGTCCATAAAATGCTACGACTGATTGACAACATGAAGAAGGCATTCGTGTATGTGACGAAGATATGGTAAAGTTCATTATAGCAACCATAAGATCTAGGCTAGAGTACGATACAGTGGTATGGAGTCCACACTTAAAAATAGATATAGACAAACTGGAAAGAGTTCAGAGAGAAGCCACAAGATGGACACCTACGCTAAGAGATATGAGCTACGAAGATAGACTACTGGAATTAGGATTTACTACTTTGGAAGAAAGAAGGAAAGGGCGACATGATTATACTGTTCACCTAGGTTACAAGAAGAGTGAGATTAGACATAGATGACTATAATCTCGAACACAAGAAGGACGAGGACACAATTAAAGGTTGGAAGTAAAAGGAAGCAATAAAAATGTCAAAAGTATAGTTTCCCAAACAGAACTATTGGAGCATGGAACAGTCTTCCAAAAAACAATGTGTGTGATAAAAATGTGCACACTTTAAAAAGTTAAACGACAATTTAAATATATAGACGGGACCCTCTGAGCACTGAAACAACTTGATAAAACACACATACACATATACAGTCTATGCATAAATTGGCGGGCATATATATATATATATATATATATATATATATATATATATATATATATATATATATATATATATATATATATTATATATACATACATACATACACACACACACACACACACACACACACACACACACACACACACACACACACACACACACACACATATATATATATATATATATATATATATATATATATATATACATACATATATACATATATATATATATATATATATATATATATATATATATATATATATATTATATATATATGTATATATCCACACACCACACACACACACACATATATATATATAACACTCATTTATATCCATCCATTTATACATACATACACACACACACACACACACATATTTGTGTGTGTGTGCGTGTATGTGTGTGTGTGTGTGCGTGTATGTGTATGTGAATATGTGAATGAATGTATATATGTGGGTGCGTGTCTGTATATACATACATATATGTATGTTTGTGTACACAAACATACATATATATGTTTGTGTATACATATATATATGTATATATATCTGTATGTATATATGTATTTACATATATGTATATATATGTATGTACAGTTGATATACACTCAGTCTCAGCAATTTAATCATCAGAGGAAAAGACCAGAAAAATGTTGTCGCTAAGGATTTTGAACACGATCCGCTACTGGGTTAACATAACTATATTTTGAGAGCTTCCCCGCGAGCAGACCAAGGGAATCCTTTGGAATGTCAGAGACAGAGCTCGGCTAAATGACGTCAAAAATATTTCTAACACTGACAAAGAGGTGCTATTTTGTTCAGTTGTTTAATTAATCGACCAAAGTCTGCGACGAAATTCCCCATGATATGAAAAGAAATGTATTTTTGGTCCTCTTTAACATTCT